TAGCTGTGTGGCTTTGGGGGAGGAGGAGGACATGTGTGGAGTGTCCTTTTAAAATTACTGTACACTATAGGAAGATATATACGTACATGTATGCAATAATGTGTGTATGTATGCTTGTGTTTAAGAAGAGTTATCCATGCAGACTTTATGTATTATCCTTTATTATATAGTTGTTTGTGTCAAACATTGTGCTTTAATTATTTATAACTTTCCACATATTTTTGTTATCTTCTACAGATTTTTGTTGACCCCCTGCTGCCCCCTTTTTCGAATAAGGTAAAACTTTTTTTTTCTTCTTATTTAGGCTCAATTTACTTTTTCTTCCCCTATTACACGTAACTCACAAAGGAGTTGATAAAACATATGATTAACTTAACATAATTAAATTAACATAAATATTAATTTTCTAATAGTATTTTGAAATAATATTAAAGAGGGTCTTCCTCCTCACGAATTAAAATTAAAAATAAATGCTATAGTAGTGTTAAAAAGAACTTTAAGTACATCAAACGGTCTCTGTAGAGGCACAAGATTAAAAATAACAAAATTATTTAAGTACAATATAGAATCAGAAGTAATTATGGGATAAAAAAAGCAAAGTTTATATTCCTAGAATAACATTGAATACTGGCACCTTATTATCATTACCTTTTGCCTTATATAGAAAACAGTTTCCCTTTGTATTAGCATGTTCTATATTTACTAACAAATCAGAAAAACAGAGTTTTGATTCTTCAGGATTGTATATTAAAAAACCTTTATTCTCGTACGGATAATTATACGTTTCTTTATTAAGATGTAAGAATCCAAAAATAATTTTTATTCAAATTGATTCCGAGAATACATCAGAAATTAAAAATATTGTTTAGCTGGAAATTTTTCAGTGATTCAAAAATATTTAACTTTGAAAAAAAAAAAAAAAAAAAAAAAGTAACTATTAAAATTACTAGCACCTGTTACCAGACGACCCGAGTTGCTTACGAGCCATTTTGTTTATTAATAAACGATTTATTAACATTACAAGCGCCTATCACCAGATTACCTGGGACCCTTAATAGCCGCTCGATAATAAAAAAAAAAACACCACAACATTAAAGCATTTGTCACCAGGCAACATAAAGTGCTTGATAGGTATTAATTTTATGATAAAAAAAAAAACTATATATAACTGGAGCTGCATATCTAAGTAACCTGAAGTACTAACTGGCCATTGTGTTTAATAAAAATTATTTAACAATAATTTAGAGGTCTACTAGTGAGTCACGAGAACACATTGCAGCAATTTCAAGTAAAAAAAAAAAAAAAATTAAACGAAACTCATGTGATCATCTCTAGAACACTTAAAACGTTTTATAGTTATTTGTAAATTTCTGAACCATATATTACTTATATAATTTACTAGTAAGCGCTTCTTGTTATTTCGTTATTGGCACTTGTGTTGTTCAAAATAATTTAATACATTAATAAACTAGCCATTAAGTGTCCCAGGTCATCTGGCAAAATAGGCTCGTGTTGTTAATTATTATTTTATTAATTAATAGAGTTGCTACTAAGCACCCTGGGTTACGTGGTGATAAGTGCTTGTGTTGTTAATTTTTATTTGATTAATTAATGAACCGGTCAGCAAGTACCCTTGTTGTCTGGTAATAGAAGCTTCGGTTGTCAATTGTTATTTTTTCATCTAACAAAGCCGCCAGTAAGTGCTCCTGGTCATCTGGTGATAGGCGCTCTGGTTACTAAAAAACGTAGTGGCCAGTAAGCGCCCTAGGTCATCTGGTAATAGGCATTAATGTTATTAATTTAAATTTATTTAGTAATAAACTAGCAAGTGAGTGCCCTGGGTTATCATTAGATAGGCACATTAGAGGACAGTACGTGGACTTCAATGCTCTATTGACATCTTCCAGATAGCACATAGATGAGAGCGCAGCTTCGACGGTGGGGATGGCCAGCATTACTTCTTTGTGGTCAGTCGTGTCGATTAGATAGTCATGTTTGCACCTGAGAAGGACATTTTTCAAAAGGCTAAACCAATTGAGTTTGGGTTTGTTATTAGGCAGTGTGTCCAGAGTTCTCAAATTTTCGTATGCTCTTCTTAGGTAGCTGGTAGGGTCAGATGCGAGAATTTTGGATTAAAGCGTCATGGCTCTCTTCTCTACTTTTGGTTGGAGGCTCATACTGCCCATCTCTAAGCGCAAGGTGTATCCTGGTGTGCTGATTGGAAGCAATAACATTTTTTTTAGGAATAGTACATGAACGTGCTCTACCTCCTTGGCCTGGGATAATCCCCAGATGCCAGAACCGTACAGTGTAGTAGAGGTGACAAGAGCGTCAAAAAGTTTTCTGCTTGCCAACCAGCTGTTATTGTGTCCGCTGCACAGAATCTTCCAAACAGGGCCAAGTGCAGTTCTTCCTTTAGTAAGCATTCTAGCAGTATTTGGTGCAAAGAAGCCCGAAGATGAGAATGTTACACCCAAGTATGTGAACTCCTTGACCTCTTCCAGCTGCTGTTCTATAAACTTAAAGGACTTTTCGTTTTTGATTCTGCCTGAGTTCTTGGATATTAGTATTTTGGTTTTCTTTGTATTAACAATCAGACTTTTATATTGACAGAATAGAGCTAACGCATTGAGTTTGCTTTGTAGGTCAGAGTGGTTCGCTGCTGTTATAATCAAATCGTCGGTGAATAACAAAATTTCGATGTTTTTTTCGATTGATGTATGCCCTGCCTGTTAGAAAAAGTCCAGGATGTCGAATAGGAGTAGTGAGAAGAGAGTGGGGCTCAGAGTGTCCCCCTGCAGCACACCCTCTGTGACTTCAATTCTATCTGATTTGGAACCGGAGTTTAGCTTCATTCGAATACGCGCTCTAGAGTACAGGTCTTGTAGCACTCGCATAATTTTAGATCTAACTCCCGCTTCATAGAGTGTTCTCCATAGCACAGGATGAGCTACTGAGTCAAATGTGCGTTTTAAATCCATGAACGTGGTATATAGTTTCCCACCTGGTCTGGATGAGGCAGCGGTCACTTTAGCTTGCAATACGAAAATATTGTTGTCACATGAATAGTTTTTTCTAAAGCCCGCCTGGCACTTGGGGATGATGTTACATTGGTCATACAAACGAGATAGCCTGTTAGCTAGAATGGAGGTAAAGATCTTTGTTATTATGTTCATCAGAGCAATACCTCTGTAATTCGCTGGGTCCATCCTGTCTCCTTTTTTAAACGGGAGAACCACGTCACTGCAGCACCAGCTCTCCGGGACGTAATAGCTGTATATGAATACATCATTTTCTGAGTCGATAATCAAACACCTTGCGAAGATATTGATTTTTTTATTTGTAAACAATTTTTTCTAATTTTCAGAGCATGAATCAAGTCTTTCAAAAATTTATCGAAGTATAAAAAACTTGTATCTTTTAAATATTCACAACTTTGTAATATGATTCCAATTTAGTACTGTATTGGGCAATAACCTCTTTTCAATGGTTTTTGAAAATTTATTGTTTTCTGGAGTATCGGAAATTTTATTTAAATTCAAGTGTACGATACAAAAAATTTTATTTTATAAGACTTATAACTTTTTTGAAAACCCTAACATTTTGTACTGAAAACTATTAGATATAGCAATAAAATAATTTTTTTA